GGGGGGGGGGGGGGGTTGTGCGTGCATACATACTGGACTGTTGGAAATTAGCCAGAAGTCCTCCAAGTCTCTTTGAGAAGAAATTGCTGGACACTGCCCATTAGTGTTCTCCGCTCTTATTTTTCAGTGATGAAGCACTAAAAGTCAGTTGTGTGACTTCTCAAATACATACATGTCATCTCTCGCCTCCATTTTCTTACAAATCGAAGAGAAGCATTTTTTGTTAAATAACAGTAACAACAAGAAATTAATAATGTCATTTTGATAATTTGTACTGGTAGTGCTAGCTGACCGCATATATATCAGATTAGAGGATTGCAAGAATAAGTGTTGTTCTATGGTAGACAGACAAATTCAACACAAATAAATTTAGTATAGTGGCTGTGTGTCTGTAACTTAATTATAATTATAATTTAAATGTTTTTAGTTTGTTTAGTTACGATAATGTAATAGAGCTTGTGTGTGTGTGTGTTCTGGAAACCAAAGCTGATAGAATTTCTCAATAACGCAAGGAGGCTAAACAAACTTAATCTGGCTATGGAAAAGGTTGATGAATTCCTTGAAACCTCAACATATATATATATAAAGCGTTCTCTCTTTTTGCTGGAAAGAAAAGCGTAATATCACTCTACCTGGTGCCATGTGACGCTGAAGCATGTTTGCACCACTTTTTCATTCTTTTTGCAGATTAGAGAGGAAAGAACAACAAAACCAGAATTACTGCCACTATTTTTGAATTAGTTATGCTTTCAACTCCCTTCATGCTAAAATTAAAATAATAATAATTTAGAGCAGAAGAAATTAAGATGAGTCAGGGAAGGCCACAACGTTATTAGGAAGGACACGGATATTGTATTAACAAAATAATTATTCCTCTTGTTAGGGATGAAATTATTTTTCTCAAGTAAGCCATCTTAGTTATTTACCAGTTCATTAATTAGTTCGTAAAGTATCACTTAAATATATATAATGAAGAAACTTTTTAACTCGCCATGGAAAGAGAGGGCTGCAGAATTGTGATGAACAAGAGAAAAAATTAAATGAAATGAGCATATGCAGTTTGATTCCGCCGTGCAAACTACTAAATATAAATAATCATATTGACGTTTTAAAGACTGCTATATTCAAACCGCATCATGTTCTTTCTTGACTAAAAACTGTGAAGAGATCGGTTGCACATGATGAATTTTAAAGTTAGCAAACCCTAGGCATGAACCATTTCTACCAGTCTTTTATGCACTTCAAGGAAGCATTTCTCGTGAGAGGAAGCTAAATTCCAGTTTCCAAGCATTAATAAAAGTAAATTACTCCAACAGAGTAAGCACAGAGAAAGAAAAAAAAATCTTTTTATGAGCATGCAGAGGAGAATGTCGAAGCCTTTCTAATATTTAAAGAACTATATATAAATAAATAAAAAGAAAAAAAACCAACTTCAAGTACTTGCTACCTCCATTTTTTTACCATCCATGCTAAAACTAATATTCTTCGAATCATTATTACAACCATTTTAAATTCCTTGAGCTTTTTATCAATTCGAAGTTTGTTTTACGCAAAGCTTAATCGCAGATCTAAATGTGGATGATCCATTTCTGTACCAAATTTATAAGAAAATGCAGCTGCAGCTTCATTGCATTCATTTGCTTGCAACCTGAATTTCTCTGGTCCCGCTTCATCAAAGGAGTTTAAAGGGAAAAGTTGGAGAGTCTCAATCACTCTTTCTGGTTCGTTCACATGATTGATCTCAGTAAAATCTGCAAAAGAAGATTACCAAAAAAAAAAAGTATTTAATGCAACTTTCTTCATATTTATTTCTGAGAAGAATAAAGGCTTATGCAAGACTAATTTACATCGCGCAGAAGAAAATCTGTCATCTCTACGAATCATGGCATCCTTCTCATCAACAGAAACCCTGCGCCGCTTCTGTCTTTCTCTAGCTTTATGATTTTGAAACCAGTAAAAAACGTTCTTGCTCTCGATCTTGCCATAAAAACTAAGCTGGGTGGAGATGTTCTGGATCTCGTCAGTACTTGGGGTTCGAAGCCCAGACCGGAACAAGTCAGTTAGAAGTTTAACTTGTTCGGTAGTAGGATTCCAACGCCCACATTTAGTTCCTGTGCCACAGTTATTGCCACTACCACCACCACGACCAGCTTTTGTGATACAAAAGCCTGACATTCTCTCTTCCATTATCTGTGTTAGCTTCAGATGCTTACTTTCGACTTCGATACAAGTCTATGAGAGAACTTTCTTTTTGAGCTTCTGAACTCAAAAGATAAGACCCCGTGTGCATATATAATAGACTACGCGCTAACACACACACACACACACTTTATTTTTTGTTTTCTTTTTGTACTTATCTTTTGTTTTGTTTTATTGGTGATCAAACGATAGCAGAATCATAACTTTTGTTTATTAATTTCAGTCTGCTTTGATTTTAGGGATTGTGTGAGACTGAATATTTGTAAGGATTTGATCATGCCCGGATTTTTGTGCACTTGAATATAGAGAGAGACATGCGCAAAAGCTGCCACTGTTCAACGTATTGGTCTTCGAGCAGACAAGAGACAACAAGTAAGTTTGATCACTACTTATTAGTTAATTATTATTATCTTGTAGTATTATTAATTACATTGAATCTTTGTTCTATTTTTTTTAAATTTTTGATGAATTGATCTCCATAGACAGACAAACAGATAGGGTATATTGTTTGTGTTTTTCAGTAAAGTGTGCACTCGATGCTGTTGCATATGGCTTAATGTAGGGTTTAGTACTGTTTGATGTTGTGTTCGTCATGTTTGTAGTAGACTATCCAACCCATCAGGACATGAGAGTAATCCAATTATACTTTCTTTTAAATCAGTAATCCTAGTTTGTTAAAGAAAACTAAATTGAACTTCTATTTCGGTTTCTATCCTCTTAAGTTGATGTGCATTGATACATTATGCTGCTAATGTTGTTAATGGCTAGATGAATTTATAATATATATATAGCCTTCTAATCAAGCTATTTATATATAAAAAACCAAAAAAATAAGCTTAAATAATAGGCTAATTAATCTAGTATGGTCCAAATTAATTACCAACAGTGACAAGGGGATGAATCCAAGTTTTGTTTATAAACTAGAATTATATAAATATATATATGCTAAACAACACCAGGATGGTTCAAAAATCTCAGAATGTCAGTAAAGAAGATTTCTGTACAAATGAAAGTCAAAATTCACATTGTCTGATTTTGGTTGGACGATTGTGATCGCATCTACTGACATTGATACTTGGTTAGGCTGACTATAAACAATTACAGCTAGATCACTCAAATAATGTTGGTTTAAACCTGCTTTTAAGGATGTGGGAACAGAAACTAAAGGACAAGAAAGCCTCCGAATTGAGATTTGGGAGAGACAACTCATGAGCAACCAAAAAGGGAAGCAAACTTTTATTTTCTAATGTCATGTGGCTCCTGTCCTTGGCAACTACATGCCCTTTTTCTAGTTGTCTGCTTTGCCTTCAACTTTTAATTGGTTCAAATAGGGAACTTAAAAGGGCAGTCACTAGGTGAGTGCGCCCTTGTACTTTAGAGCTTGTCCTTCAACTACTAATTCGAAAGTTTAAAGTTGATAATATTGACTAGATAGGAAAAGCATGGGATTGATCTTTGGATTCCTACCATTTCAATGCCAAGTTCTCTTATCCTGCTATGTGATAGTTAAGGATAGAAATATGAAATGACTGAAGATTTGAACTCATTTGTTGGAGAAGTGTTTTAAGGATGTGGTTGTTGTTATTTTTAAATTGTTATTAGAATGATATTTTTTTATTTTTTTAAATTAGTGTATCAAAATTATTCAAAACATATAAAAAAATTAATTTTTAATAAGAAATTTAAATTTAAATTTTTATAAAATATAATTTGTACCAAATATTCTAGAGTTGCCTGAGATTATTTAATAATGATTTGCTGTCTTTAAAAAGCACTTGTCCCTCTTATGGTTAGGAATCAAAAAACCTGAAACCTGCTGATAAATTGTACTAGCTATTCGAATTGAACAATAAAGTATGAAGCATAAAATTAAGCTGGATTAATGCTTCATAACCTCATGTCTGTAAACATTGTAAGAAAAAATAGTGCTGAGAATAGATGTGACAGTTCTCGATAAATATCCTCTCAAACAACAAAATACAATTCAAACTTGTATTTCTTGGCTAGTATTTCCAATTCTCACTCTCATTCTTTTCTGTACCTGGTCCACCAGTACTGATCCAAAATTTAGGTTCACTTCCACTTTTCTTTTGCACACTTCTTAGTTCCTCCAATTCCCGAGGATGCTCTATACACGATAAGCATGAATTTTTCCCTTAATAATTTGGCACGGCAGGCTGCGGTGTTCTAACTACTAGGTATCTACTTGCCTTAAATAATCTGTAGTACTGTCTTGGTATTAATACCAAACAACAGGAAATAAATCAATCCGTCCCCAAAATCTAATCTAATTAATCCCTGATTTTATTTTTGGTTTTTGTTTTGTTTATTCAACAAGAGCCTTATTGACCATTGGAGTACAGAATGCAAATGCAATCTAATTAATCAATAAGCGTTCACCCTCTACTAAGTGAGATTGAAACTTTAGAGTACCTTCAACTTTAAATTCGATATTCAAACCGCTAGGTGTCCCCTTGGAGACCACAAATTCTTGCATATCTTAAAAACTATTCTGACTTGTGTTGCCAATTAACAGTACTAGGCTCACCACATATCAAAGCAGCCTATATTTGCTAAGCATGGGTGTTTGGCATGTGTAGTCCTAGAAGAAATTGGAGTTCGAGTTGCATCAAATCTTCGATTTGTGATTGAACAAGTTCAACTCAACTAAATCACAAGCTAGGAACTACTACGATCCTGAATGAAACAAGGAGTATATATGAAATGCCCATGTCATTAGAAGTCCTAGTATCAGCTAGAACTGTGAAATATCTTTCAGCCCATGATTAATATCTACAACCCGTATTTCCAAGCCATAATAATACATCTTAAGAAGTGCCCTTAAACTCGTTAGCAACAGGAGTTATTGGAACGATATGCAAACATGCACAAACAGTTATAGGAAGGATTTAAGAGGGAGATTGGAAAAAGTGCGAAGTGTTTTATTTGGCTGTCTTTTGTACGTGTCACCGTTGATTGAGTTAGAGAGAAGCACTTTATTTTGATGAGTGGGAGAGATAGGGGAAGTGGTTCCGACAAACAACAACAGAAAAATGATTAGTGCGAAACGAGGAGTGACATATAGTGCTAGAGGGGTAGAGGCTATGGAGAAATATAGGGCACGCGTGAAATCTAGGCCACCCAAGATTTCCGTCCCTTTTCTCCTGTCTGCTGCACTCTGCACTGCACACCACATTTATCGTTATTGCAAATTGCCCCATAGTGGAAGATCACCAAACATGGCCGCGGACAAAATGGGTGGGAAAAAAGAACTAATCATAGGAATTAAGATCGCATAATCTGCGCTTAACATTCTAGATGCCCAATCATAGGAGGCCCACCAGGCAATCAATCACTATGCAATTACTGCAAACTGTGAGAGTTGCTGGTGTCGGAGGTCAGAGCTCGGCATGGTTTGACACATGATAAAGGGAAATTCTGCTAACACGTAGTTGCTGCGAGTATGCAACCAAAATTACAAGCAACAGACTTCTGTTGCCAAATTTTACTAAAATCACTCCTTATTTCCCAAAACTCGAAGGTTGTTTTCTCGCGAATAAAAAATAACTAGGGTATGTTTGTTTGGTGTAAAAGTGTTTATTTTGAGAGAAAAAAATTTATAAATTTTTTTTTTATTATAGTTTTTATAAAATATTTTACAGAAAAACTAGTCAATATTTATAATTAATTTTTAAAAACATGTTACATATAAAATATTTGAAGGGAAGATATATTACAAAAAAAAAATGTTTTTTAACCTGAATGCAGGCATAGAGCTTGTGCATCTGCCGTGATAAACGGTAGACGAACATCGGAAGTCTTGCATTCCGTATCATTTCCAATATTTTGGTTAAAATATGAGGTACGATAGATAAATGATCGAGCTGGATCCCACCACTTACCTATCCCGCGGCTATACTGGCGAGATCTAATTAAAAAAAAAAAGGGGGTTGGAGGTGGTTTGCAAGCATTCCATGAATGAATGAATGGACAGTTGTTTCTCCATGTGAAAAGGGGATATCCATCAGTCCTGGAGGGGCACAACTTGCCTGGCCCATAGACCAGGCCAGGAGAACATGCTCAGCGGTCCACAAGAGACATAGATTCACAATCCAACCATAAGAATTTAAACCAAGAATACTGTATCCCGTGCAGCGTCTTTCCCTGGCCATAGACCTCAACAGTATTTAGATTCAAAGGGAAAACATGGTACGAGGAATATGAGAGAAGCCTGATCCGAATATGAGTTTATAAGGTAGCTGGTTCAACTTAGTTAACAAAAAAAATTCACAAGCTTGAAGGATATTCTTTACCTGATCATATCACTAATTAAAGTCCCAAAAACCTCAGACCTTAGGACCGCTAAAGCTTATATAAATGTTAACTTTAAGACCCGTAAAATTAATCAAGATACACACAAGCTGATTTAACACCCATATTAATAAAATAAAATAAAATAATTTTAAAAATCACACCCAACACGCCATATGCTAACATATCCCGTGATAATTTTGTTACGCACCGTCAAATGCAGTGCCACCATCCCAAAAGATAACCTAATAATCAAAAGATGTTACTAATCCAGTTTCTATAGCATACAGTATCACCATGTTGCAGATTTCGGATGCGACCCCAATCAGTTTGAGAAAACCCAGGTCAGGAGTTAGGATAACAAGACAAGAACTGAAAACCAAAGTATAACAGCATTGTAAGCAAACCAGATTTAACCTCGAGCTTACAAAAGTGAATAATGTTTCCTGGAGTGTAAATGAACAATTATAAAAACAATCTTGAGATGAAATTGCAGATAGCCTACCTAACAAAAATCAACACAAGCTTCTGATTCCCCAAACTTGACAATACATTACTATAGGTCAACACCTATGAGGATTAATGGTTTTGGGCCGTGAATTCACCCAGCAGACAGAAATCAGAGGATCTGAGCTGCTGTATTCAACTTCTCTGCTAAGCTGAGCTGTGTCCTAGTGATGCTTGACAGGTACAGCAAGAGTAAATGGTCCTGTGGGAACAGAGAAGGCAGAAGAAGCAAATAGAGAAAGATGAAATGATATATAAAGCAGAAAATCACTGACAATGCAGCAGAGTAATATGCCAACAAATTGTCATTAAAAATATCAAATGAATTGCCATTACAAAGTAGAAAACTACTCGCAACAAATGATTTAAGACCTAAATCTGAAACAAAGAAATTAAGCCTAAATTCTAATCATATGTCGTAGTTATGAATGATAACACTCCTGCAATCATCTTTATTCCTAGAAACAATCATATGAAAATAACATTAGCTTACCTGCATGTTGTCATTTACAAGCTTATCAAACACTGGTGGTGAAAGTTTGGGAAGGGAGGCGACCGTGTCTGATATAAAACGCCCTATGTTATTATCTGGTGCGGTATGCCCTTCCTAAGAAGAGAACTGATTATTAGCTTAAACAATAAGGAGGTTAGAACAAATTGATGAAGGGAGGGTCATCTTACTCACCACCACATCATCAACATATTTGTACACATCATCGATTAGAGCTAGTAGCCGTTGCATAGAGATTTCCATCCCTTCCAGATCACTTGGAATTTTGTCAACCATTGTGGTCTTCAAAACATCAACTGCAGTTATGATATAGATAAAACTTCAGATGCAGATAAATCTAATATATGCGCATCAAAAGAAAGGAATTCAACCAGCATTCCACAAACAGAATTCCAGGTGTTAAACAACCACAACAAACCGAATTTTGACAGGGCATCAAGAAATAACAACAGCAAGTGGCAAATTTTTATGCAGAAGAAACAATATGCAGAGCTTCATGAAATTCGAATTTCGTAGTTTTTCCAAAAATAATTATAAACAAGCCATGATCAGAGCTGATTGTTTCATGGAGATAGCCAGCACGGTAATAAGCAGAATCATTGTTACAAACAAAAGGGAACTCTATCCCCAGGAACAAGAAAAAGAATAGGGCGGGAAATTTTGAAGATTACAGAGCTATTACCAACTAGGCCCTTAAGATGTAGTTGATAGCATTGCTTCCTTTCATAAAATGAAATCTAAAAATTTATCACAATTAACTCCTTGGACAAAATCCATTCACGCCAATCCTCTTCACCCCACTCCATACACCCAACAAAAAGAATGAAATTAAAGACTTGAAGGAAGAATGTTTCACCAAAGGGTCAGAATTAACAGCCTAATCTATCATTGTCTCCCTTAAGAAATGTAATAGCAGAAGCATGTGTATGGGAACCTGTTTGTCTTGGCATGTGCACAGTGAGACAACAAAACAGAAAACAGAGAATGCCAACCAACAAAGATTTTACTAGGAAAGAAGAATTCAAGATATATACATACATCCAATGCGCTCAGCTTCAACCATACGAAGATCAAGAGGAACTTCTTGAAATTGTGCCGCAAGTGGACGGTCTCCAAGAGACAGATTCACAGAAACATAAGCCTTTATGGTACCCTCCCCGTTACTGAATCCTGTATCCACCGTCAGATGAATAGGGTTTGGAACTTCTCTGGAATAGAAATCATGAATCAAAGCACTACCGCCAGTAACTCCTAACCCAGTTGAATACCTGCATGCAATTACATAAGCACAACAATTGCATAAGCACAACACGACAAATTAATTAATTCCATAACAAAAAACCCATTGCCTCCTCGTCACCACCATTGGATATTGAAAGCTCCAGCATATAATGGTAAAGCAAAATAAAATTTGAACAATCCAATAAACACTACACTATTGCAACACATTCAAAACCTTCCAAGTTTTTTTCAAACAATAACTTGCATTGACAATAATGAAATCAGTGAAGATGAGAATTACCATCCAACAATAACTTCCTTAGGATTCACTTTTTGATGAGACAGCAGCAAGTTATGATGGTAATCGATATCCAAAGCCACCTTCATCCATTTTATAAACAAAAACCAACACAATTATTACCATGGGAAATAAAAGACTAGGATTGGAAAAAACAATTACAACTAACCTTCTGAGATATTTCTTGATTACATTTTTTCCAAGACAGTAGAAAAAATAGAAAAAATCTGGGAAGAGATATTTGAAAACCTGTTCGGAGGATTCATTATGAGGGACGGCATAAGAGTTGCGGATATCAACGGTGCCATCGGGCAAGACGGAGCCAAGGAGAGTGCCAATGACGCGCTCAGCTTGGTCAGGCCGCCTAACGTAGCAATCGCAGATGTTGAAGATGACAAGAGGGTGAACCTTCGCGGAGAGAGTCGATGAAGATGATGTTGCGAATTGGAGGACTGTTTGCTGCTCGATCGCCGCCATTCTCCGATCTCGATTTGAGGCAAAGAGAGGCCGAGAGAGGGGATACAGGGAGGGGGGTGTGGGAGATTAGGGTTTTTGGGGAGGATGGAATTTGAGGGTTGGTATAGGTTTTGTTTGGATTGTTGCTGGGCTCATATTCATCTGGCCTGGCCCAGTGAGAGAATGTTGTGGGCTTCGTGGAATAAAATAAAAATGTTAAGCTTTTTTTGGATTTATATTTTTTTATTTTCATCCACATGAAATATGAATTTTAAAAAATAATAATTAAAAAATATTTTTAAAAAAATAAAAATAAACTCTTGTCTCATATGTTTTTATTTAACTCCTTTTCAAGTTCAAGTCAATGGTTTCCAAAGGAAATTATTATTGTTAATATTATTTCCAGTGAGAGAATGTTGTGGGCTTCGTGGAATAAAATAAAAATGTTAAGCTTTTTTTGGATTTATATTTTTTTATTTCATCTACATGAAATATGAATTTTAAAAAATAATATTTTTAAAATATATTTTTAATTAAAAAATATTTTTTAAAAAATACAAATAAACTCTTGTCTCATATGTTTTTATTTAACTCCTTTTCAAGTTCAAGTCAATGGTTTCCAAAGGAAATTATTATTGTTAATATTATTTCCAATGAGAGAATGTTGTGGGCTTCGTGGAATAAAATAAAAATGTTAAGCTTTTTTTGGATTTATATGTTTTTATTTCATCTACATGAAATATGAATTTTTAAAAATACAAATAAACTCTTGTCTCATATGTTTTTATTTAACTCCTTTTCAAGTTCAAGCCGATGGTTTCCAAAGGAAAATAGTTGATTGTCCGGTGTGTAAAAATGGACGACATGTAATAATGTTTTCTAACATTAAAATTATGTTATTGGGAGCATGTGATACAATACGTGAGTTTATCGTATTTGGTATTTAGTGTTTCTTGTTTTCTTTTTTTTCTTCTTTTTTTTTCATTATTTCTCATGCACGGTTTTCTTTTTTTTCTTGTTTTTTTTTTTTCATTATTTCTCATGCACGAGATACACACACCAGGCTTACTGTTAGGCCTATTGGTTTGCACACAAAAGAAAAAAATATTGTTGTTTGATGCAAAATACTCATGTTGAAAGTCTTAACAAATTATTTCAGTGTATTTTATAGACCAAGAAAAGGCAACAAGCTATACAACAATGAGGGCTGATTAACATATAGTTTGTTTGCGATGTAAAAATATTTTAAAAATATTTAAATTTTATTTTATATTAAGTTACTTTTTATATTGTTTTAATATGTTAGTATTAAAATTTAATTTTTTTAAAAAAAAATAATCCTGATACATTTATTAATAAAAGATATTTTAAAAATCAATTATTTTTACAATACCAAACAGACTTTGAATCAAATTGATAGGGTTTACTTTTTATAATGGTAAGTGATAGAACCTTTTTTTTTTCATTGTCGATCTTTTATATTTTTTTCAATATAAAAAAAAAGTAAATAAAAAAAATATAAAATTGTCTATACATCAATAATTAGAAGCAACCTAATAAAATTACATGTGGAATTTAATTTAATTTTACATATAATTTAAATTTAATTGATAATTTATTATAATTTTTATATTTAAATAAAAATTTAAATCACATAATTGAGCTGAATTAAGTTTAATTATTCTGTTAGAAATATCTATAAACAAAATAAATCAAACGGACAATATTTACTATTTTACTTTTAATTTAAAAATCAAATATAAAAGGCTAAAAACCTGCATTTTCAAGTACTAGGAACTCATGCGATTCTGTTTGATTACATGATCTGACTCGTAGAAACAAAACAGGTCTAGAAACTTGTGGCCCTTGCAAGTGCTTAACCTCAATTTACCATGTTGTGTCAGGGCGACCAGTACCATGGATCGAAGACATGCATGACATGCTTATTACTATCATGAAATTGCTTAAAGAAACAAGGGGATGCTTGTTTTTGTTTTTTCTTCGGTTGAACCGGTTTGTGACAGCTGAAACTTTTCATGACTGGTTAATACGTAGTAGAAAAGTTAATTTAAACTCGTAAATTACTATATTCTTATCTGTGCACTTATCCTGCACTAGACACCTTGATAGGTTACCGGGGTGTTCTGTGTCTCATATATTTTTATTTTTTATAAAAAAATTATATATATAAATTTTTTCAATGAATTTTTATAATTTAAAAAATCTAAGTTCATATTAAAAATTTATATATACATGTAATCAAATAAATTAAAAATTTTATATACAAATAAATAAATAAATAATTATTTATAATAACTAAAAATAAAATTTAAAAAATCAAAAAATAAATATAAATATTAAAAGATAGGATTTTTACCCTGTTATATTTACTAAATTTATTTATTAAAATATTTTTTTATTTAAGTAAGTAATAATTAAATATATTAATTAAATTAATCGAATAAAACAAGAGGAGAAAAAAATATAATCCAATGCAACACATATTAGAAATTATTTATTAAAATATTATATGAATATTATTTTTTTATTTTAAAAATAAAATTCATTAATATAAAAGATAAAAAATACATAGATGAATAAAAAAAACTCTTCAAATTTAAATATATAATAAAAAATATTACTTAAAAGATGCTCCCCAAACAAAATGAAAAGGAGAATATGCACTAGTTTAAATATAAATTGTAAAAAATATAAAATAAAAACATAAAAAAAAGAATCATTCATTTAAAAAAAATTGTTTATAAAAAAGAAAATTACAAATCTGCCGCTGCTATAGGAACCGCTACACTAACCAATTTAAAAAAAATTTCAATTGTGCAAACTAGGGCTTGGCCTGGGGGTGGAAAGGGCCTGTCTCCTTCCACTGCACCTGGGTTCAAGTCCTAGTGTGCACGTCTGTCACCCCCACGGTGCCTTACATGCCTACTGGGTTTGTAGGATATTTAGTGGGTCATGGGGATTAGTCGTGATGCACGCAAGCTGGCCCGGATACCCCGCGTAAATAAAAAAAAAATAAAAAGTAAAAAATATAAAAAAATATAAAAAAAAAGAATCATTCATTTTAAAAAAATTATTTCTAAAAAAGAAAATTACAAATCTGCCGCTGCTATAGGAACTGCTACACTAACCAATTTAAAGAAAATTTCAATTGTGTAAACTAGGGATTGGCCTAGCGATGGAAGGGACTTGTCTCTTTCCATTGTACCTGGGTTCAAGTCCTAGCATGCACGCTTGTTACCCTCACGGTGCCTTACATGCCTACTGGGTTTGTAGGATATTCAGTGGACCGTGAGGATTAGTCGTGATATGCACAAACTAACCCGGACATTCCACGTAAATCAAAAAAAAAATTTCAATTGTGCTATTTATAACGTGAAATGAGTTTCTTGTACTGCATGTAAAATGATATCTAATTTCAATTTAATGGTTTTGACGCGGGTGCGTTCCTAGTAAATCCAACGCTCACTTTCAATTTAAATAAATACTCTAAAAATAATTCCTGACACCAAAATTAATTTCGCATTTAAAATTTAATTTAATTCCATTAATTCTAAACAACACAAAACAACCTCCATTTATAATATTAAAAATTAAAATAATATTCTTATAATTATTAAAAATTTACATGATTGTTAATTTTAGTACTAGTAACATTAGTTTAAATATCTGTAAATTAGTTTAAATATCTATATTAATAAATAAATAAATAAATAAAAGAGGAAATTTGGAACCCGCAGGAGCTCAATAGTTGCCCCCACCAATTTAGAAAAGAGGAGGTGACCTATCATCCCAGTGTTAGGCAATAAATAGTATTCAGACATTGAATTGATTAATTGCACGCCGTGCCCAAACTAAGACTCTTCTTCTTCTTCTTACCAGTTTAATTGTCACGAAGTATTTTCAAATCAAAGATGCATCAAACTCAAATTCGTTTCTTCAAATGTATTATAGTTATCTAATAACATATCTAGAATTTTTTGAATTGAATCCAATTAAGAGATTTTAATAAAATTTTATATTTAAAATCATTTTAAATATCAAGAATTGAATAACAAATGTAATTTTGTTTCTAAGAACTAGCACAAAAACAAGCCACTCCATTTGATTTACTATTTTAAAAGATAAGAAATTGATATTAAAATTAGTTTTACTGTATACTTATCTCTTTTGTTGAGAGGCATTTAAAGTAATAAGATAAAAAATAACAATGGTAATATAAAAAAATCGAATTATATACAATTCAGTTAAATTACATAACAGATTTGTTTTTAAAGCTCGCGAGTGAATTCAATTTTCATGGTGGCGGTACTATAGTTTCCACACGTGGTTAATTGCAAGCTAGATTCAGCGTGTGATTAGCGGTATGCTTGATCACCTGTGTTTTTAACACTCAATGCTTTGAGCTGAATTCTTTGCTTTAGCCAATAACCCCTCTCGTTGCAAGAAGAACGTCGAACTCATTGATAAAATTAACAAGTTTCTCCCTTATTTATTAACCCACTTTCGAGCTCAACAAGATTTCCTCTAATTTCAGTTCGCATCATGGTGTCCAGTGAGACCACCTTTTACGTAAAGAAGACAGTGACAGGAAGTTCGCCAGCGGTCACACATAGCTCACTCGATGGAGCCCATAAATGTCATCGCCGACACGGTTCACAAGAGCAAGATAAGGAAGATTCCATGGATGTGGTAGCAATGCTCCTAGTAAAGAGAAGGAGACGCAGAGAATAGACGGATGATGACTAATGGTCCACACCATAAAATATTTCCATTAATCTAAATGGGGTAAGGGCCCTTTCATTTCAAGGGGTTAAAAATTCAGGGCCGATTCAAGTGGATTAAAAAAAATAAAAAAAATAATTTTGTATAGTTTTATCGGTTAAATCCCAAGTTTATTTTTAATTTTTAATTTGAGTTTTATAAATTTTAAAATTGTGAAAGATTTATATAATTATTAATTTTAAAACTTTAAATATTAATCAAAAGATTTATATAATTATTAACTTTAAAACTTTAAATATTAATCAAGGTATAAATAAGCTAGTATATATATTTAGAATTAATAATAACAATAATAATTAGAATAGAATAGAA